ATTCTGTCCAAGCCAGGATTCCAAGAGGTGATTCAGAATTTCCCTGACCCAGCCAAGCCTGGGGGTCCCAGCGGGCCCCAGGAGGCAGAGGCAGGCATCCTGTTGGTGAAGGTCAGGTGCTTTGTCTCCAACTTTTTCAGTGAGAGCCAGCTAGCAAACGTTTTCCTGTGCGCTAGGCACCTCCTGGATTCCACTTCCCAGGCGCGGCACTGGACTGAGCCACGACCTGATTTTGATTCATAAAGAAAAGAGAAGAAAACTATCCCACATCTGCAGCTCCTCTTCGGCGCTGTCACTGCTGGGAAGTCATAATGGTCACTGGTCCGGTTCCGTCATGTTCCTCAAATGGACAGTCACGTTATTACTGATAGCAGTGGGGCCTGAGCACCCTTCCAACCTGTCTTTACTAAGAAATATGACATTGCAGCAGCAGTACTACTCTCCTTATTACGTTAGAAAGCAACCCCTGTCTACGCTTTGGGCGAGGGCCGGCAGCGCATCCTGGGAGGTCCGTAGGCGCTCCGGAGCCGCGAGTGCACGCCTTCTCTAAGACTTACGGTAAGCGCGGCGCGCAGAGCAACCACGTGGCGGCAGAACCGAGGCCGGGCGGGAATGCGTGGAATGCGCGGCGCGGCCCCGCGCTGCCCCTGAGCCAAGGCCTGGGTTCCCGCAGCGCGCGCTCCCACCTCCCCTCTCTTCCTAGCCCGGCCGCACCCCAGGGCCAGGCCCCGTCGAACGGACCGCAGGGACAGGTCGAGCCCCGCAGGAGTGTCCCGGCGAGGCTTGTGGACGGGGAGCGGCCCATTCCACCCCTTAAACCCCAAGCGCCCAGAACTGCCCAGTGGGTCCAAACCAGGGTCCTGCCAGCAGGCCCGACGGCACTAGGCTGAGGGAACCATGGGGAGGGGTGCAGGATGTTAGGTATGGACCCCCTCTCCACTCACCTGAAAAAAGTTCCCCACCCCTCCTGGCAGTGTCAAGAGCCCCAGAACTCGGAGGGTCCCCATAATCAAGGTCCCCCACCCCCTTGCCCCGGCTGTCCCTCTGTCCATCCACCTCCAGGGCCATGGCGTTTCCAGGGCAGAACGAAGGTGACTGGAAGGCGCGAGGATTCGGGGTCCTCCCCGCAGTTTCTGAGAAAGGGCGGAGGTTGGGGGCCCAGAGACAAGACCGGGAGGCGAGGAAAAGGGCCTCAAGTCCTTCCTGGGCCGGGTGGGGACGCCGTAGATGGCGACGAGGGTCTTAGAGCCGGTCCTCCTGGGGAGGGTCCCCTTCCCGCCAGCCACCGCCTCTGGTTCCCGAGGCCCCGCGAGTCTCCGCAGCGGCTCCCCGCGCCCTCGTCCTGGGCGGGGGTCTGCTCAGCCTCGGGTGGGCCGCGGCCTTGCTTGCTTGGTCGGTCAAGGGAGACGCAAGAAGGACGCGGCTCCCTAGGTCAGTACCCCCACCTCCCGCCGGATTTGCCTTAGTTGCAAGTGGTTATCTTCTCAATCTGGGCGCCCACTGCGCGACACTCGGTCAGCGGCAGGCCAGGGGCCTGAGCTAAGAGGCCAGGAAACTCCTAGTGGACTTGGGGTTTCGTGCTGCGCAGGGCACCAGGCGATGCATTTCAGGGGTGAAGACCAGAGAGTTCGAATCTTCTTTCACCCCCAAAAGTGCACCTTCTCCCTTGGGATCCCAGAGGCAGGGGGAGCCAGCCCCCTCCTACACCTGTTGGGGTTTGCTTTTTAATTCTCACGCACACCTCACCCGAGGCCTTCATGGGTGGGGAAGGGGTGTACCGACCCCCGCAGCCTGCCATACCGACGACTGGGGTTCTGAGCAGGGGGTTGGTCTGTGTATGGCTGAAATTAATCGATCAGAGAGAGAAACGCAAGTCTGCGGCCTGGGGCGGTGCAAACCTGTGACTGTCCCGGGCGAGTGCCTGGGCCAGAGGCCGAAGCTTAGGGGCGCCGCGGGTCTGCGCTGCGTAGCCCCGGCGGACCTACCGCAGCACGTGGACTGCCATGCGCGCCCCCAAAGCCAGCAGTCTGGGGGAAGGGGAGCCCGAGCGCCCCCGGAACCCTGGGGCCCTCTTTCGGAAGCGTTTCTCTAGGGCGACTTAAGGACTTAACAATGGAAAACTCGCGGGACTGGAGCCAGGTCCTTTCAAGTCGCCGCCAGGTATGCGGCAGCAGGTGACCCCACCTGGGTGCGCCCCCCCCCCGCCCCTATCCTCTTGGGGGAAGGCGGGTGCCGGAGGTCGACACCCGTGTTTGCTCTCGGTTGGGCCCTGCACCCCACGCCCGAACCCCCTTGCGGGGCGGCGCGCAGCCGCGGTGCTTCCCGGAGTCGGCGCCGCGGCGCTCGGGTTCCTGAATGAACGCGCGCCCTTCCCCCGCCTTGAATGAAGGTTCCCACAGCCAGGGACGGTGGTAAACGCGCCGGCCGCGGAACTCGCCCTCTCGGGGCCGACGGTCCTCGGCCCGGGTCCCCTCGGTTGGGAGCCGGGACGGAAGAAAACGGGAAGGCGATTTAAGTTACTTTTAGATTTCCTTTCGAACCAGCGTGGTCTCCAAATGGTCACCAAGAAATAAATGCAAAACCCTGCAAATGAACCCAGAATTCGCAGTTCCTGCTTCGTGGTGGGTTTTTTAAAGCAGTGCAAAATCAAAACTGCAAGAGCAGAGGTTTTTTGTGTGTTTTTTTTTTTTTTAAGTTGTTTTTCTCTTAGAAAAAAAACTTTTTTTTTTTTTTTTTTTAATCAAAACGCACCCTCTGCTCTCCTAGAAGGAGCAGCCCTCAAGGGCCCGGGGCTGTTGGCCCCCTCGGGAGCCCGGGGAAACGCAGATCTGGGCTCCCTGGTGGGGGCTGGGCGGCCGGCGCTCCCCGGCGGGCCCCAAATTCCAGCGCCTCCCCCGCGGGTTCCTGGACGGCTCTTCACGCTCCCCGGCCGGGCTTGCACTTTTGCGCCCGTCCCTGGGCGGGGAAATCAACGAAGTTCCTCGTTGAGATCTGCCCGGTCCGCCTAGTAACAGCGCCGCGCCCCCATTGGCTCATGCTAATTCCAGTTTCCTCTGCCTTGCTCCGGGGTTGGGGGGAAGCTCCCTCCAGGACCCGGAGCCCGTTTTGCCGGAGTGGGCGAGCCTCTTTATGCCCCGCTGCCCCTCTCCATCGCCGGCCCGCCTCAGGCCGCTCGGGGCGTTCGCGGGGCTCGGGCCCCTTCGCCCCCCGGGACAGGAGCCGCCTGGTGATAGCGCGCAGTCCCATAAATCACCCAGGCGGCCACCGGGTCGGAATTTTATGAATGAAAATCAGCCCGGCCGCCCTCGTGCGCGGGCTGTTGCCGCGAGGCTCCTGCGTGCCCCGGGCCAACGCGAGCGTGGGTGCCGGGGGAGGGCGACACGCAGTGGGTGCTCCTTGCTCGGGCCACCCACAGCTTCCCGGGCGTGCGCCCAGGGGTGGTTCCCCTCCTGGACCCCGAATAGTTTCAACCCTAATTCCTGGCAGGGGAGAGGACGCGGGAAGAATCAGCCCTGAAAGTGGGGGCGTCTTGCCTTGGTGTGCGCGCCCTTTCGAGGGGAGGGGGCTTTTTGTGTCCCGTTTTCTTCGGGCCAATATCCTGTTAGGGGATTCGGTGGTCTGATGACACTAAACGGTAGTCAGAGGGAAGTAAATGAACAGTTTTCTTAATTTGGGGCAGGTAGCGTAAAACTTTTAAAAATGTTAAGACTGGGTAAAATGTCCTTTTATTTAAAAAAAAAAACACTACAAAGACGGAATCTAATAATACATATTTTTGTATTCTTTTATATATCTTAAGTTTGTAATAATATTGGGGACCCTCTCGTATAACCATGAACACGTATAGACTTTTGTTTAAAATCATGGGATCAATACCCCCATTTCTATAACTTATCATTACTCTCATTTTTGTCAGCCCCTGCCATCCCCATCAGGCTCACAAATGCGGCCCCAGGACAGATTATTAAGGGTGAAAAGATGTCCACACCCCCAACAGAACCAATTAGGAGGCTTCCGGTGGTCTTGCCCCAGGCAGAGAAGCGACTAATATTTCCAGTGATTTATTTTACTTTTTCATTTAAAAACGGGACAGGACAGAGACCACTGTTTTGCTGCCTTCTACACAGGGTGTTCTTCTAGCAGTTAAATTGCTGGGAGGGGTGGGTTGGGATTTGGGGACCCCCGCAAGGATGGACTTGGCCAAGGTAGGAAGACAGCGCAGATCCCCCAAGCGAGGAGGGCAGGATGAAGGAAATGCTGGCCACCATCTTGGGCTGCCGCTGGAATTTTCGGGCATTTATTTTGTTTTATTTTATTTTATATTTTATTTTATTGAGCAAGCGCATGCTAGGCTGAAATCTCTTAAACGTTTAGGGTTTCCCCCCTGGTCACTTGCAACGACCCCCCCTGTGCACCGGAATGAAGCCTCCAGCCGGGCTGTGGGCTCCACCGGGTGTCCCTGAATGTTAAATGGTTCCTGAAATTTACACGTGTTAATGAAAATGAAAGAAGATGTAGACGCTGAGATCCCTTGGCCGCCTCTCTGCCCGTGGGTGCCCTCGTGGCGTTCCCAGAAATGCGCCCATTCTCCCGGCTCGGATATAGGGTGTCGCCCAGTCCCAGGGTGCCCCCCTCCATGCAGTCTCCCCCCGGCTGCGTGTGGCCTGCCCGCCCTCCTAGTTGTCCCCCTCTTCAGAGCCACCTCCACCCCACCCCCCAAATCCCAGGGGATCCACTCCGGGCAACAGCCCCCCCTGAACCCCTCTTCCCCGGCGGGGAGAAAGGCTGCCTCGGGGCGATTTGCATTTCTATGAAAACCGGGCTTCGGGGGCAACTCCGCCGCGGGACTCTGCCCCTCGCCGCTCCCGGGCGCTCCGCGCCCGCGCCCCCTCCCCCTGAGCCCGCCCCCACCCCCTCCCATTCTCTGCGCGGCTTTGATCTCTGAACAACAGTAACGTCACACGGACTATAGGGGAGTTTTGTTGGAAGTTGCAAAGTCCTGGAGCCTCCAGAGGGCTGTCGGCGCAGTAGCAGCAGCAGCAGCGTCCGCGCGCTCCGGCAAGGGGCAGAAGAACTCGAGGGAGCGCGGGGCGCAGAAGCTAGAGTCGAGCGCGGACCAAGCCCGCGACCCACCGCCCGCCTCAGGCCACCCAGCAGAGCCCCAGCCATGGCACACCAGCTCCTGTGCTGCGAGGTGGAGACCATCCGCCGGGCGTATCCCGATGCCAACCTCCTCAACGACCGGGTGCTGCGGGCCATGCTCAAGGCGGAGGAGACCTGCACGCCCTCCGTGTCTTACTTCAAGTGCGTGCAGAAGGAGATCCTGCCGTCCATGCGGAAGATCGTGGCCACCTGGATGCTGGAGGTGCGGGGCTTCGGGCGGCTCTCTGAGACTCGACTACAATTTGTTGCCCAAACTCACATTTTTTTTTTGCCACTCATCTTCCCTTTTCTCCCACCCTAACTTTGAAGTTTGCAGGGGTTGTTGCTAGGAAATCATATTTTAAATATACATATAGATAGATAGATAGATAGATAGATGTGGGTATTTTTGAAGGAGGAGAGGGTGGGGGCGTTAGAAATACCCTTCCCTGGGGGGAGGGGAGCGGCCAGGGAGGGGTCCCTTCTGGGCAAGCCAGTGCCAGACGCACCCCAGTTGGCTCGAGGGTGCGGGCTGGCAGGCTGGGCGCCCTTTGTGGCCCCCGCCTGCGCCCGAGCCCCGCTGCGCCTCCTCTCCTGGCTGCTGGGCCACCAGCTCCATGGGGAGGGGGCGTATATTTGATTTTTAAATTAATATCCATGGACACGTATTCAAGGGCCGCTCGTGCCAGTATTATGCGCCATCTTTGTTCTTTTATTGCAAAGCTAAAGTGTTTATTAATAATTGGGGGCAGGGTGGGGGCGGGGAGCCGCAGGCGAGGCGCTGGGGCCGTGGCGAGGGGCCGCGCGGATGCGGGGAACCGGCAGGAGGGGCGCGGGGACAGACCACGGGCATTTGGGGGGACCCCACTCAGGAAGGGGGGGCCTTTGTTCAAGCAGCGAGTCCCGGGGCGCCCTGCACAGCCAGCCTGGGCCAGAGAGCACGCCGGGCTGCAAGGTCGCGTGGCCCCCAAGACGCTGGGGATTGACCCTCGTCTGCAGGATTCTCAGCTTGGGGAACCTGTCTGGAGCGAGCCGGAGGCTTGGGTCATATTTTCAGACTTTCAGTGGGTTCCTGGGGGACCCGCAAGTATTTTTAAATAATTTTTGAAAGTGCGGCGTGGTGCCCTTGCGAGAGGGAAACAGCGCCCGCGCCCAGGGAGAAGGGGGGGCCCAGAGTTTGAATTCCTGGGGATCTACCCTGAGCCTGCAACGAGCTCCCGACCCCTGGCTCAGGTAAAGGGCCGCCCGGTGGTCATTTTCATGTTTTTTTTATGTACTCAGTTATTTTTTAAATATTTTTAAATATTTTTTGAAAAGATGACGTCTGGGGCAATGCGGCGCGGCGGCCTGGGACGCCACCTTTGTGTCTCGCAGGCGCTGTGAGCACGGCGCCCAGCCCCGCGGCCCCGCACCCCATTTGGTGCGATCCTGGTCCAGGCGGGCCCCCGAGCACCCATCTGGACCGGGGTCCCCGGGGCCGGCAGCCCGCGCACGGCGCACGCCGCTCAGCCGTGCCCGCTCCCGCTCCCACCGTGCCAGCCTCCCGGGGACTTTCCCTTTCAGTTTCAGGGTGGGTGGGTGCTGGGGACACTCGGGGCAGGGGGCGCATCAGCAGAGGCATCTGACGCCCCCTACCCGACCGTCCGCGCGCTGGGAGACCCACGAGCCGGGTAGGGGCGCGGGGTCCCGCAGAGGGGGGCCCCCGGGTCACGGCCCCGGTGCCCCAGCAGGTCTGCGAGGAGCAGAGATGCGAGGAGGAGGTCTTCCCGCTGGCCATGAACTACCTGGACCGCTTCCTGTCGCTGGAGCCCGTGAAAAAGAGCCGCCTGCAGCTGCTGGGGGCCACCTGCATGTTCGTGGCCTCGAAGATGAAGGAGACCATCCCCCTGACGGCTGAGAAGTTGTGCATCTACACTGACAACTCCATCCGGCCTGATGAGCTGCTGGTAACCCCACGACACCCGGCACCCCGTTAGCAAGGAACCCCGGGGTGGGGGGCGGACGGGACGCCCTACTACCCGCTCCCCCCGCCCCGGAGCGGGCGGGACCCCCGCCGACCCCCATCCCCTCCGCCCCACCTCGCTTGCTCCGACTCCCACGGCGGCTGCGTCCCTAGCGCGGTCGAAAAGTGGGCGGCGCGCGCCCTCTAGCGGCGACGGCGGGGCAGCGCGCACTTAGGACAAGGCCTCGCGCGTGTTCCAGGTGCGGGAGGTCTTTCCACTCGGCCCTTGAGAACTACCATCTGAATAATAAGCAGGAGCTTTTCCCCCGCGGCTCCTTCGCTTTTATTTTTAATCTGGGGCCCCAGGTTGTACCCCATTTCCTGGATCCCCAGCATCACCATCACCCTGTCCCACCCCGGCCCCACTCGCCCCCCCCAGGCGTCCCCCTGCACCTCTCCTCATGCCCGGTCTCCCGTTGGCACAGCAAATGGAGCTGCTGCTGGTGAACAAGCTCAAGTGGAACCTGGCGGCCACCGCCCCGCACGACTTCATTGAGCACTTCCTCTCCAAGATGCCGGTGGGCGAGGACGACAAGCAGATCATCCGCAAACACGCGCAGACCTTCGTGGCCCTCTGTGCCACAGGTAGGGCACCTGCCTGGGTCCCCGCCAGGCCCCCTGTTCTCAGAGCTCCTCCCTCTGCTGAGCGCAGGGCGGGGGCTGCTGCTGGGCCTGGCAGAGGAGGGCGTTGTCCTCCGGGGCTTGGGTGGCTGGTCTACCCGTGCCCAGCTGCCTGGGCTGCTGCGCCCCGCACCCCGCAGGGTTCACTCCACGCGGAAAGGGGTTTACCTTGGCTGCCGGGCCAGCCTCTCCCCACCCCTCTCCAGTCCTTTCCTGTCCTCAAGGAGCCTGAGCTTTGGGGCCCCCTCCTGGCCTCTCCCAGGCTGGGCCACCTGCCAGGGGCGCCTACAGGGGTGGGGAGCCGGCCGCCAGTGCTGCACCACGTGCTGCGGGCGGCCGGCCTGGCCCTCCTGCGGGGGCGGCACCAGAGGAGCCTGGAGGCCTGAGGCCCTGCTAAGGGAGCCGGAGCCTCGGAGCCTCGGGAGGGGCTTTGGAGCTGCCTGCTGCTGTGGGTGGTGTCTGGGGCAATGTCCCCCACCTCCAGCTGGCCCAGGCCTCCGCAGCACCCAGCCTTTCAAACCCGGGGTGGACACACAATGTCGTTTCCAGCTTCCCCCAGCTCCGCGCCTGACCCCGTGACCTCTTCCTTCCCTCCCTGGAGACCCTGACCTGACCGAGGGACCTGTGCCCCACCCTACCTCAGCCGCCACATTTCTTTGGGGCTTACTCTAGGCAACCTGAGGGCCACACCTGATCAAAGGGGGAGGCTGGCCCCCAGCGTCTTCCACACCCCCCGAAGGGGCAGAGCCCCAAGACTGGCATCTCATTGCGCCCTCCTGGTGTCCGGGTGCTCTGGTGACTGGTATTCCTGGGTTAGGCCGGAGTCTGGGGAAGGTTCTGCTGCCTCCCCACCCTCTGCCCAGTCCTTCCAAGCAGGCGTGGGGGTACAGATGGAGAAGCAGGGACCTTACTGGCCTGGATGGACCTGAGAGACGGGCGCCCCCAGCCCCAGGTGCTCCGGCGCTGGCCTGTGGGCGTGGGTGGGGAGCCTCAGAGAGAGACTTTTAGTGGAGCTGGAAGTTGTTTGGAAAAACAGCAGTTTCCTGGAGATCATAGGAGGAGGGGGAGTGGCTCGTGCACGCTCCCCTCCCCCAGGTGCCCCGGAAAGCGGGGTGTGTGGCCTGAGTGCTGGCAGCCAAAGGAGCGGTCCTGGCGCAGGCGCAGACTGGCTGTGGGCCAGCATCAAGCCTACAGCGCTGGGCCCAGCGGCACCCAGCCTGGCGCTCGGGTCCCAGCCCCCGCGGTGACCCAGCTGGGTCCTGACCGAGCTGCACCGTGTGGAGATGACAGATGCAGCCATGCCCTTGGTCACAGAGGGACCTCACAAACAGACAGGCTGTGGGAGGTGGGGGTGCAAGCCAGGGTTCCCCCCAAAGCTGCCGTGCGGGAGGCCCAGCTTCCTGAATCCCGGCACGTGTGCACACGTCACCCCCCTGGCGCCACCCCCCTAGCGCTGGGTCCCGATTTTCCTTGAACGTGTCCGAACGCGTGTGCAAGGAGCCTTTCCTTGTGCTGCGGACGACGATGACGATGATGACGATGCCACGCCCAGCGCTCCGGGCTGAGGGCTCCCAACTCCCCCATTAAAATGCTAAATCACTGGCCTCCTCACACTAGTTTCTCACGAGGTGTTAAGTGTCCTCTGATGGGCCCCACCCTCCAGGAGTGCAGGGAGGGGGCGGTGGGCCTGGCCCAGAGCAGGGGCCACCCTCCCTCCCTCGGTGGGGGTGGACGAAGTGGGGATCAGCATCTGATTTGGGACGCCGGCTGCCCTGGGTTTGGCCCCGTGGAAGCCTGGGGTGGGGGGAGAAGGCCCGAGGACCTGCGGGGGGCTGAGGCTGGGCCCAGTGCAGGTGAGGCCCTAGCGGATTGCAGGTGTGCGTCCCCGTGCTGGTGCAGGCCCTTAGAGGCAACGCCTCTGCTCCCCTGCGGGTTTTGTCACATTTAACTTGAGTAAAGAAGCTACACATTCAAAAGGCTCGTGTGAAAGGACGAGAGCGGGTGTCCCCTCACGGGGTGCCCTCCCCAGGGGCCCCCGGCGGGCAGTTTGCCTGCAGGGGATCTTGGGGACCCTGTGGAGGGCCCCCACTCACGCCCCCTTGCCTCTCCCCTGCGCAGACGTGAAGTTCATTTCCAACCCGCCCTCCATGGTGGCCGCGGGCAGCGTGGTGGCCGCGGTGCAGGGCCTGCGCCTGGGGGGCTCCAGCAGCGTCCTGTCCTACCACCGCCTCACCAGATTCCTCTCCAACATGATCAAGTGCGACCCGGTAAGTGACCTCGCACCGCCCGGGGACCTAACGGGGACTGCCCCGAAGATGCCGGTCGGGTCACCTGGGGGCGGGCAGCGCCTGAGTTCAGAGGCACAGGACCTGTCACAGGCCAGCCGCGTGCCACCCCTGTCTTGGGGGCTCCTTTGGAGGAATCGGCACTTCCTGGAACGTGAGGACAGGCCAGGAGGTGCCCACAGGCTCCTGGAGTCCCCCGGGCTCACAGGAGCCAGGAAGCCCTCCGTCAGGTGCGTGGGTCGGGCCCAGTCAGCTTTGCCGGGGCCGCAGTGTGATCGCCACCCAGTAGGTGCCTTAGAGGGGCCCCCGGGCGGTCTGGGGCGGTGACAGTGGGCCCAGCACGGCAACCTTGTTTTCACGCCCCCTCTGAGGCTGCGGCAGCTGAAGTCGGGGTCGATCGCGTTGTCTTTAAAAACGCCATTGTTTTATTCCCACTTTCTGGCCTTCCTTGAAGAATTAAAATGACAATGACAAGGCTTTGTGGCATTTACCAAATTAGACCAGAGTGGTTGGGGGGTCAGCTGTCTGTCTCTGGGACTGAGTGGCCACCGGGGCCCACCCTGGAGGTTTGGGAGGCTCTGGACCCCAGCCAGGTGCCAGCTCACCTGTACCACTCGGGGAGGCAAGGTGTTGGGTGAGGCAGACACCTGCCGTCCTCTGGCCAGCGGCACATGGCTGCCAGCCTGTCCCCAGAGGACGTGTCCTCACCCAGAGACGTGGGCACTCCCAGGAGGGACCCCCCCCCGCCCCGGGTGTTCCCTACCGTCTGGCTGCTTCCGTCATTGCTCTGGGCGGCCACGGGGGTGAGGTGCTCACCGGAAATGCCGCCAACAGAACGCTGAACGCTGTCCGCAGCGGGGAGGTGGCCCAATGACCCCATTTCCGTAGAGGCCGCAGGGGCTCACAGCTGACGGACGGGGTGGGGGAGGCAGTTGAGGCTGACATTTGTTAGTCTGGTTACCCAGTGACAAATGTCATCTCTCAGCAGTGGGGGCCTGGGCTTTCTGCCCTTCTCCAGAGCTGGCCTTCAGGGACCAGTCAGCTCGGCAGGGTGGGGCTGCAGGTCCCAGTGGGCTACTGGGAGGAGGAGGTGGGGGGCGCCGAGGGGAGTACACCTGTTCTCTGCCCCCACCCCGCCCCGAGTCACAGGGCGAGTCAACCATCACCCCTCAGAGCTGCCTGGGAGCTGCCCGGGCGGTGGGGGGACGGCAGGCCTCCGCGGTGGACTGAGGCCGTGCTGGGTGTTGAGTGAGTGGCTCGAAGCTAAGAGGTGGCCACGGGCACCTCTGTCTCCCCATCAGAGCTGGGCCTCAGTGTCCTCCTGTCACGGGGCCGTGGCACCTGGCCTTCTGAGCCGCCACGGTGAATGCGGAGAGTGGGGAGTCCACCCGCCTGGAAAGGCTCTGGAAACGGGGGAGCCGCAGGGATCGCTCCAGCTGTCTGGCCTGGGTCCAGCTTCGGGGCAAGCACCCCGTGTCCAGCCCCAGGGGTTCAGCAGCTCCTTCCCCGTGGCTGAGCCCCAGTCCTGTGGGAAAGGCAATCCTAGGAGCTGGGTGTCTGCGGCCGCCTGTCCAGACCCTGGCAGCCATGCGGTCACCCGGCCGTGAGAGGCACCTCCATGCTGCTGGGACATTTGTCCCTAGTGAGACCAGGAGTGAGTGGCCCCCGGACCCCGGGATTCCTCTTCCCTGTTGAAAGTGTAGGGTCTGGCCACGAGAGGCAGTCTGGTGTGGTGGGCTCTACGCAAGACCAGACTACCGTCTAGGGTATGGGTCCTGGTCCCCCCGGGCCACCACAGTCATTCGCCGTCACGCACAGCTTAACACTTTTGACGGCCATTCACCGTGGAAGGCTCCGTTCACCGCAGGGCCCCCACGGCAGAGGTTTAGTCCAAAAGGCAGGGCTCAGAGGGCCTCCCTGCCCTGGTCAGACGGCTGGATAGGCAGGACAGTGGCAGGGCTGGTGGCTGCGGCGGGGCCGGGGACCAGAGCCCGGCTAAGGAACTGCAGCGAGAGGCCGGGCCCAGGCCATGCTGCTGGACAGGGACAGGCAGGGAGGGGGAGGGGCGCCGGACAGGCGGAGAGGGGGAGGGGTGCAGGACAGGCGGGGAGGGGGAGGGGCCGGACAGGCGCATCTGTTCACAGGTGGCCGGCCGCCCTGTGGTCTTTGGTTTGGAGCGGGGCCATCACTGCCTGGCTGGCATGTGGGCACACAGGGCCCCTGCTGGTCTGTCCTAGGGTGTGGGACAGCAGCTCCGAGGCCTGGGGGGGGGGTGCAGGTGGCGGTGTTTGGGGGATGGGCCCCCGCCACAGGCCTCCTAAGGACCCGTCTCCCCAGGACTGCCTGCGGGCCTGCCAGGAGCAGATCGAGGCCCTGCTGGAGTCCAGCCTGCGCCAGGCCCAGCAGCAGAGCCTGGATCCCAAGGCTGCGGAGGAGGAGGAGGAGGAGGAGGAGGTGGACCTGGCCTGCACACCCACCGACGTCCGGGACGTGAACATCTGAGGGTGCTGGCGGTGAGGGAGGGGCCGGCCCCCGTGCTCCCCTGGCGGACCCGCTCCCTGCAGGACGGGTCGCCCACGGAAGGGGAGGTTCCTTCTCCTCCTGTGGGTTTTCTCTTCTGCTCTTTCTCCCTTCCATCTCTGACTTCAAAAAGTACCCAAAACTGTCTTTAAGAAAAAAAGGAAAAAAAAAGAAAAAAAATAGTATTTGCATAAGCCCAAGCTAGAGGGGAGGAGGGTTGTGCCCCAGAAACAGGATTGTATAGCCCGTAACCGACTAGTTTTATGCGAGCGCACTGGCGTCTGTTTAAGGGTAGGATTAACACAAGGGCCAAGTCCGCAGGGGGCTTAGATTTGACTCTGTACGTGTTTAAAGCAAAAAAAAAAAACATAAACACTTTCCAACAGACCGTTTTCAAGTAGCAGAGGGTTGTAGGTAGAGAGGCTCCCCAGAGCCCTGCGGAAGGCGCAGCCCTGGGGCGGCTGTAGGCACCCTGTCCCTTGCTTGCTTGTGCATGTAGTCACTTTATAAGTCATTTGTACGTGTTGATCGTATTCTGAAGGTAGGCGTGTAACCTCTTCACCTGTCCATGGCTGACGGAACCTGTCGGGTAGCGTAGTGTAGCTGGGCCTCGCGGGGGGCTCACCTTTCTGCCCGTGGACCGACCACCGGAGCGGGTGTCGGGGCGCCGGCCAGAGCCGCCATCACGGGGAGCCAGCCCTCCGACGCCTCCTGCGCTTTGGAGAAGCCGCAGTAGCAAGGTCATAGATTCTATTTTTGTAATCCTCGTATTTTTGTAGTTGCCCGTGTAGGAGACGCTGTCGTCCAGCAGACCGGCCGCCTGCTCACGTCCAGGTGAAACCCACAGCTTGTCTGTCCCCTCGGTTCGGAAACCGCTCCATGTCAAGCACTTTCGGGCCCGGGGCTCTAGGGAAGTTTTGTCAGCTGCGTGGGGAGGGCGGCTTCCAGGCGGAATGGTCCGGGGGCGCAGCACGCGTGTGCGCGCAGGATCGCAAGGCCAGTGCAAGTAGCCGCGGTGTTCGTGAGGGGGTTTTGGAAGGCGAGGGTCCAGTCGAGGAGGAGGAAGTCCGTTCTCACGTTGCCAGGGTGACGCCCCTTTCCTGTCGCGGGGTCCAGGTTTAGGAACCCTTTGGTGCCAACTGGTGTTTGGAAGTTAGAGGCCTTAAAGGTTGACCTAGAGAACACGTAGTTTAAGGGTTAGGAAGGTTTCTTAAACACTAAAATATGTAATTTATAGTTAAGGCTAAAAAGAATATTTATTGCGGAGGACGTCTGTAAGGCCAGTCTGATTTAGGAAGTCACGCACTCTCCCTGGTTCTCACGCACCGCCCGCAGCCTGCCGCGCGGCAGGTTCATCAGTACCGTTCAGGAAAGTTAGGTCCTTTTCTACGAGGGGGGAACCCCCGGGAAAAAAACACAGACACGTGGATTTGGCCTGTTGGTGTTTCCCAACGTGATCCCATCTGAGAGGCCTCAGAGACACAGGAAAACGAGGGCACTCGAATCAAGCTCGGTTTCAGCATATTCTTAGTCAATGTCCCCTCCTTGGAGAAAGAGAAAGGTTAGCGACCGATGGACAATTTGCACATCTTGGCTGTGTACCTGTGTGTGTCATGACTAGGTAGGGAGTGTTGAAGGGAGGTGGCGGGAGCCCGGCCGGGGCTGGGGAGGCTGTGGGGAGGGTGGGGGCAGGCGGACCACAGGACAGCTGCACGCTCGTTTCTCATTCATTCGCTGCTACCGAGGGCCCCCCACGGTCTGGAGACACCCACAACGCTTCTCTGTATTTCTCACATTGTTTTGCTGCTATGGGAGGATCAGTCTTTCTGTTTTACGAAGTCATATACTGCCATGTTCTACTTTTAATTTTCTCATAGAAAAAAATGTATTACGGATGCCTTTTTTTTTGGTAATTTTTTTTTTTATGTGATCAATTTTGACTTAATGTGATTACTGCTCTATTCCAAAAAGGTCCCAGTTCCACGATACCTCATGCTTCGCTCAGCCCCGTGCAGGCCGGCGGCCGGGCTCCCGCTGGCCTGTGCCCCGGGCACGCGGACGAGATCCCCGGCGGCCTGGCGGGGCGGGCGTCCCGGGTGCAGCCCGCGTCCGTGCCCTTCCCCTGCGCCCGCCGCGCCGGGCTCCGCCTGCCCTGGCGCTGACCACCCTCGTAGTTCTTACGGCTGTGTTGTTTGCGTATAGCTATGAAAGTTGCATTATTATTATTATTGTTACTGTAACGCGTGTGTTAAGTGCCGCTGTGGTGCTGTGCCCTCACAGGGGGACTCTGTCAGGCCCCCGTGTCCCCGTTCTGTCAGGACCGCGTGATGCGAAGCTGACGAGGCCGCGGCTCTCGCTGCAGCTGGCCCCCAGCGCTGTGCCCTCGCCCCTGCGCCGTGCCCGGCGCCCCCCGTGCCGCCGAACCAAAAGGAAGTGCACCTCGGCGGCCCGGCCCGCCCCATGGGAACCCTGCTTCCGCTTACCTCAACTGTCCTGGCTGCAGCATCTAAACCAAACCGGGTCCCGGGGACGGCTGTCCTGGGGGCCGTCGCGTGCTGGGCTGGTGCGGTCGTGACCGGCAGTCCCAGGCCGCTCCAGGGCGGCTGGGCACTCGGGCGTGTGGCCGCACACGCAGCGCCTCGCAGCAAGGACGTGTAGCCGGCGCGGTTCCAGCGGGAAATGAGACCAACGTGCAAAGTCTAGAAATAAAGCTGGTAAAACCCCAGGGCGGTGTCTGCCTGTTTCCTGGGGGTCCGGATCCCATTGTGGGGGGCTGTCCTGTGCGCTGTGGGCTGTTTACCTCTACCCGCCAGAGGACGGGACGTCCCGTTGTGACAACCAGAACCGTCTGACGTCGCCAAGTGCCCTGGTCCAGGAATGGGTGATGCTCTCGCAGTGCAGGGGCAGGTGCGCTTGGCCCCGAGGAGACTGGGGAGTGACGGCCTGTGGCTACAGCCACCTAAGAACAGCTTCTGGCCCGGGGACGGGACCGCCTATTGATCAGAACGGCTTCCAGCCCGGTCACCGGCGTGCCCTCCGGCCATCTGCGGGCGGGCTGTCGATAAGCCCTCTGGGGCCCGTGCAGCGCTGACTGCCGTCTGCTGTGGGTGGATCTCGGTCCTGTGGCGTCGGGGCCTCGTTCTGGTGGCCAGGGGCCGGGAGGCCTGGTGGACACCTGTGACGTCCACCTCAGACGCGGGTGCACAGCACTGGCCTGTGTCCAGCAGCAGGTGGGAGCACACAGGGCGAGTGTCAGCAGGCCGTGGTCCCACCGAGTCTCGGGGAGGCCCCGTGTCCTTGTCCCAGGGAACCCTCAGGAGTCATTCCAGCCTGGTGACCTGTCAGGGTACCACTTCACCGTCCCCCCAGGAGGGCTCTCCTCCGGGGCCCCTAGGAGGAGGTGTGGTGTGGCCTGGGACTGCTGCCCCTTCCGGGCCAGGTGGGATGGGCACGAGGTGAGGGAGCCCCAGGAGCCTGCAGGCTGCTCCGCAAGGGGCCCAGGTGGGATGGGCACGAGGTGAGGGAGCCCCCGGAGCCTGCAGGCTGCTCCGCAAGGGGCCCAGGTGGGATGGGCACGAGGTGAGGCAGCCCCGGAGCCTGCAGGCTGCTCCGCAAGGGGCCCAGGTGGGATGGGCACGAGGTGAGGGAGCCCCCGGAGCCTGCAGGCTGCTCCGCAAGGGCCCCAGGTGGCAGGAGGCCAAGGGACAGTCAAATCAGGAGGAGGCGCCCTGAAGGCCAGGTCCAGGCCCACACCTTGGCGGGGGCTCAGCCCGGGCTGGGCTCGGCCTGTCAGCACAGGGGACCCAGGGACGCCTGTGGCCTCGGTCCCTGCAGACACATGTGCACAGCGGGCTGAGCAGGGCCCACAGGGCACGTTGAGCAGCCCGGGGGCGGGCAGCAGTCGAGTGTCAGGTCTCAGCAGGAATCGGGAGGGGAGGTTGAGCTCCTTTGTGGGGTGAACTGAGTGCCCGGAGGCTGGGTGCAAGCACTTCGTGGCGTTCAGTGCTTTCCAGAGGGAAGACCTGAGGGCTGCCAGGTGGGCAGAGAGGGAGGGAGGGGCCCGGACTGGACATGGCCCTGCGCAGGGCGGAGACGAGGGGCGGACGGGCTGCCAGGTGGGCAGAGGCGAGGGGCGGACGGGCTGCCAGGTGGGCAGAGTGGGAGGGAGGGGCCCGGACTGGACATGGCCCTGCGCAGGGCGGAGGCGAGGGGCGGACGGGCTGCCAGGTGGGCAGAGTGGGAGGGAGGGGCCCGGACTGGACACGGCCCTGCGCAGACGAGCTGCAGGACCACAAGCAGCGGTCTGGGCCGAGCGAAGGGCTCCCGAGTCCCCTGGGCCCTGTCTTCTGGGAGGCCCGTGGGAGGCATGGAGAAGGCTCTTCCTCCCAGTGAGCCTCAGGCCCTGATCCCTCAGCACTCAGCCCCTCGGGCGCCGAGGACCTCCTGCGATGCAGTGAAGGCCCTGGGCCTGTGGTGGACACAACTGCCTGTTAGGGACAAAGCCAGCACCGCCCCCTGCAGCCCCCTGCCCTCTGGGCCTGCCCTGCCTGGGGGCCCACCACCCTGCCAAACCCTCCTGGGGCTGCTGGCTCCCCTGGCTCCACCCAAGGTCCTGGGACCCAGCTGTCTTCCCCACTACCTCCTCGCCTCCCCCCTCCCCCCCACCTCCACCTCCCCTAGCTTGACTGCCCTGACCCGGATGTTTCCACCCATGAAACCGCAGGGCACACCAAGACCACCTCCTGCCCCCACTTCTGGGCCTGAAGCGCCCCCCCCCTACCCCCACCCCCACTCTCCCTCCAGGCTCATGCCCGACCCTTGCAGGCCTCGCTCCCTGTGCCCAGGCTCCGCTGCCCTGGGTGTGAGCCTTCCCACAGGTTACCAGATGCTTTGTGAGTGACAGAGACAGAGCTGGCCCTGCCTAACCCCGTCCTGTGTGGAGGTGGGGGCAGGGGCTTCCCGGGGGCCGGACAGTGTGCTGGAGACAGGCAGCTCCACGCTGGGACCACAGAGGGGAGTTAGGGCCCAGAGCAGGCGGCTACAACAGATCACAGATGTGAGCGCCCCAGGCCCCTGGGGGCCCAGCCGCAATGCCAGGCTCCCCACACTCCTCGAGCCCCAGCGCCTCCCCGTGGGTGGGGGACGGGGGTCACACCACAAGGCCGATCCCAGCAGTGGGCTGGGCGGCATGGGGGTGCATCCCGCAGGCTGGGCGGCCGGAGCACACAGGCCTCTGTCATCCCAGGAATGCCTTTGATCAGGAGTTTACACCAGGGGAAGCTAGCGGGCCTCTAATCCGTTCCCACAGTCCCAGCGCCGGCCCCCAGCCCTGAGCCACACCAGGGCCCAGCACACAATAGCCAGGGGACGGTGGGCGGGCAGCTCTGGGCTCGGGCCTGGAGGCCCACATCCGGGGGCACTGTCCCCGCCGCTCGGAGGAGGATGGGGAACAGAACGCCGCTGTGGGCCTTGAGCCTGTCAAAGGCGGCATGTCCATTAATCCTTTTCTTTCTCGGCTGAGGCCTTCAAGAGCCAAACGGTCTGACCTGAGGACCCCACACTCGGGACCCCCGGCCGTCCCAGCACGGCAGGGCGGTTTCCCTTCCCCGGTTCCATCACAGGAGGATAGCAGCTCACGTCACCGAGCACAGACTGTGCACCAGGCATTGGCAAGGGTCAAACATACAGTTTCTCCCTAGATCTTGAAATAACCCTCCCAAGGGAGGTGACAGGCAGGGGCACAGGGCCCTCTGGAGCCCACCTTCCCACAGGTGTAACTCTTCCCCTCTTCCAGGTCAAGGGGCGCAGACTTTCCCACCAGGGCCAGATGGGCCTTGCTGCCCACGCGGTCTCTGTCCAGCCTCTGCGGCTGAGCAAATGCACCGCAGACGGTGGCCAGCGGACGCGTCGCTGCGGCCTGTCGAGCCTTCACAAACGGGCAGGGGCCGGGGTGGGCAGGGTGGTGGCTTCTGGTGAACAGGCCAGAGAGGTGAAGTGAGTGAGCCAGGGTCACATGCCGGGAACTGCGGGGCCTGGTCAGCGGGCCGGGCTGCCCGCAGAGGGGAAGGGTGCGGTCTTCAGAAGCGGGCCGGGGGCACAGGCGCGAAGCTTTCACGAGACTCCACCCAGCAGCCCTGTGCACGGGGCCCTGGTCGGCCAGGAGGCCCAGGGGCGATCGGTCCACCGATGTCAGGCCCAGGAGGGTCTGGGCTGCCTCTGACCAGTGCCCTCAACTCTGCACATGGGCAAACGACAGCCAGAGAAAGGGACCTCCTCTGAGTCCACGTGCACGTGCCGGGTGGCCTGAGACGAAGGTGCTCTCCCGTTCTCGAGGCCGGAGCCGGCATCCAGGGGTCTCTGGCCAGGCTCTCTCCAGCGACCAGTGCTGCTGGCACTGCCCAGCCTTCGTGGCTTACGGCTGGTTGCCCGGATCGCGGCCTCCACGTCCACGGGCCGTCTTTCCTGAGTGTCTTCGCATGGCATTCTCCTCTTCTCCTCCAGGGGTCACACGGAGGAGGGGCCCACCCCGCTCTAGTACAGCCATCTTCCACCCGAGTTCCTGCTGCACAGACCCTGTTTCCAAGCTCACACTGACAGGTTCCAGGGGATGGGACTTCAGCGTATCTTCTGGCCGGGACACAATTCAACCCACATCAGTGACCTGAGCTCTCACAGCTAGGGAGCAGGTTTGAGGAGCACCCACCCACTGGGCACAGCGGATGTTTACAGACATCCGTGCTGAGAAGGTGCGAACAGCCCTCCCTCGATCTGCAGATCAACGGACACCGACGGGCTTGGGCTCCCCGGCACGCCACGTTCTCCAGTGGATGGAAAGAGAATCACGATGGGGCAGCCCCCAAGACAGAACCAGCAGCCCTGGTGACCAGGGCCCGCACACCTGGTAAAGGGCACCAGGTCGCAGTGACCGTGAGGACCCCGGGAACAGAGGAGCAGGGCCTCCGTGCCTGGGAGGAGTTTCATCAGCCAGAGAGCTCCAGACAAGTTCACGAGCGAGGGGCGACTTTCCTTCTCAGGAACTTAATCTGCGAAGACCCTGCTACTCGGTCACGTTGGCTTGGACAAGCCACGGAGCCTTTCTGGGCCTGGTCCCTCAACTGTAGGCCCCTCGTGTCCTGTGGCCACGGAACCCAGCACCCAATCTCTGTTCAATCTGCTCAGTGACTCGGTCTCCCAGGTCGCAGACCAGTTCCTCACTTTATTCATCAAGGACCTGAACGGCCGTGGAAATCATGACGTCCTGGCCTGTTCATCCTAGTTTTGGGTATCTCTAAATCACAGTGGTGTTCTCAGGTAGGGTCTTATTGAGGTCACCTCCTCCAGGAAGCCACCCCTGCCCTCCCACATTCCCTACTCCCCAGGCAGAGCCGAACCCGCCCCCAGCTCCGGACACCCAGGCGTCCCGTGCAGCTCCCGGTGGGCCCTGCTCACAAGCCTTGGGGCAGCCGATGGTCCCGTCCCTGCCTCTCCGGCAGCAGCCCAGTCCTTCCCCATAAATCCAGTCCCTGCCTCAGTCCACTCAGAGGCCACACTGGTTAACGACACAGGCCACAAGTTCTCAGGACATGAGGACAGCAAGGTGGCCACCTGCGGCCACTCGGTAAGACTCGGATCCCTTGGGCACACCCGTCCGTTCTCACCGCTGGACGGAGGAAGCAGCGGTGAGCGGGGCGGCAAGAACGCGGCCTCCCTTGGGGACGGCGCGGGGCCTTCGGGTGTAGTTCCGAGGGGCTGACCAATGACTAACGCTCTTGCTTGCTCTCAGTGACTAACGTTCACAAAAACACAGAATGAAGTCGCTTCCATTTCTAAGGGAACCGGCTTTCTTCTCTCCCGAGTCCCAAGTTAACAGGCTGTGCAACCAGCCAGCCAGGGTGGCTGTGATGGCCTGAACTGTGTCCCCAAAATGCCTGCATTGGGAGCCCTGAGCCCCGGGACCTCGGAAAGGGGTGGCATTTGGACATCAGGGTCTCTAAATAGATGATCAAGGTAAAAAGAGGTCATGGTGGTGGGCTGTGATCCCACAGGACTGGGCTCCTTAAAGAGACCGGACACGGACATACACAAAGGGATGCACGTGGGGACACGGGGAGAGGATGGCCGTCACAAATACCACAGACACTGTCCCCATCCTGGAGCCTGGAGGTTTGAGATCCCAGTGTCCCCAGGGCTGGCTTCTCCTGAGGCCTCTCGTTGGCGTGTAGACGGCCTTGTGAGCAGGGCCCACCGCGAGCTGCATGGGGCACCTGGGTGTCCGGAGCTGGGCAGGGCAGTTCAGCTCTGCCTGGGGAGTAGGGAATGGGAAGGCAGGGGTGGCTTCCTGGAGGAGGTGGCGTACCCATTTCTGGCAAAGTCCAGGCTTTCATGTGACGTCAACATGACCCTACCTGAGAACGCCACTGGGATCTAGAGACACCAAAACCTACGTGACGTCAACGTGACCCTGCCTGAGAACACTGTGATCTAGAAACACCAAAACCTACGTGATGTCAACATGACCCTACCTGAGAACGCCACTGGGATCTAGAGACACCAAAACCTACGTGACGTCAACGTGACCCTGCCTGAGAACACTGTAATCTAGAAACACCAAAACCTACGTGATGTCAACATGACCCTACCTGAGAACACTGTGATCTAGAGACACCAAAACCTATGTGACATCAACGTGACCCTACCTGAGAACACTGTGATCTAGAGACACCAAAACCTACGTGACGTCAACATGACCCTACCTGAGAACACTGTGATCTAGAGACACCAAAACCTACGTGATGTCAATGTGGCCCTACCTGAGAACACTGCGATCTAGAGACACCAAAACCTACGTGACGTCAACATGACCCTACCTGAGAACACTGTGATCTAGAGACACCAAAACCTACGTGACGTCAACATGACCCTACCTGAGAACACTGTGATCTAGAGACACCCAAAACTAGGACGAACAGGCCAGGGTCCTGATTTCCAGTCATTCAGGGCCTTAATGGAGGAACTGGTCTGCGACCCAAGAGACTGAGCTACTATGACTGATCAGGGTTCAGCTGCCACAGGACATGAGGCCAGGGGAGGCACGCTCATCCCGACCTTCGGACAGCGGCCTCGGGACAGAGCATAAGTGACTGGTAAGGGGCTCTGCTTGTACTAGAATTGAGGTGTGTCTAGGGCGACCAAGGTTCCTGGAAACTGGGTCTAGTTCTCCAAGGAGCCAGGTGGGCACAGGTCAAGTCCAGTGTCTGGAGAAAGGTCAGTGAGGCAACCCAGCCCACGTGATGGGTCAGAAGAGGAAGGGGCTGCCCACACTCACGCCAGCACCTGGCACGGGAGAGCTGAGGCTGCGAGCGGGCGGGGCGGGGGCGGGGCGGGCACTGGGCAGGAGGGATGAGCACTGACCCTGACGGGCGGCTGGGCCGGGTCGGTGGGAGCTGCCCCTTGCCTGACCGTCCCAGGCCCCACTCGTCCAGTGACGGTTCCCACACGTGCTGATGAGAAACGAGGACAGGACGCTGATGGCTGACCCACCGCGCTCTGTACCGGGTCCCAGGTGCCCAGGGAGGCAGGCGTGGGGACGCTGCGTCATGAATAACCCAGACAGCCTCTTGCTTTAAAGCACACTATTTATTTTTTCTCCAACTGTACAAATAAACACAGTACAAACGCAGGCAGCAGCAGACACAAGCCCACCAAGGAGAAGAGCAGAAGCCCGACGCCGGCGGCCTGGAGCCTGGCGGGGTGTGCTCCGAGGAAGGCGCAGGACGGCGCCCGGGCGGCGCCCACCACTGCGGCCGCGGGCGGGCACGACACCCGGCGCGCAGGACGGCGCCCGGCCCATCCTCGGCCATCGCGAGCCTCTCAGCGCCCGGCGAGGCACGAGTGGGGAGGAACACCCACCTGGCCCGCAGGGACTCGCAGCCCCGGGCCTCTGTGACCGCGGAGCCCAGGAGCGTGGTTCACCAAGACCTCTGGACGACTGTGACACGGGACAGACCCGTGGCCGCCACCTTATCCACCTCCCTCCCTGCCCTGGGAGCTACCCTCCAGCAGAGCAGGGGCCGGCAGCCCAGCCTGGGTGCCGGGCGGCGGAGCACGTGGGAAGCGCGGAGGCACGCGGAGAAGCCCTCAGCTCAGGAGGCGCCGGCTGCGCCTGGCCCTGTGCATACACGCCCTCTGAGTGGGACAGACACAGACCTGTGAAAGGGACGGTGCAGTGTCCTAGAGGTAAGGGTGTCATAGTGCTGGCCTGACGTTCTGTCTCCAGTTTAACATGTTTCCCCTTAGCGACTTTTTAAAAAGAATATTAGTTTTTAGAGACAGAGGAAAAGAGAGAGATCAAAACATCGATGAGAAGAACATCAATTGGCCGCCTCCTGCACCCGCCCCCCACCAGGGATCAAGCCACAACCCAGGTATGTACCCCGACTGGGAATTGGACTAGCAACCTCGGTGCCCCACCAAGCCACACCTTCTACCATTAAAAAAATATTTTTTTTTTCTTTATTGATCTTTAGAGCGAGAGGAAGGGAGGGGAAGAGAGATAGAAACATTGATGAGAGAGAACATTGGTTGGCCGCCTCCCCCACACCCCCCACTGGGGATCAGGCCCACAACCTGGGCATGTGCCCTGACTGGGGATCGAACCAGCGACCTCTTGGTGCAGGGTCAACGTTCAACCACTGAGCCACACCAGCCGGGCCCCTTCTACCATCTTTAATGCTGCAAAGCCCCAGCCCCACCCGCAGCGATGAGTATGTCCGAGCTCCCTAAGTCCAGCTGGCCTCTCTCCCAGCCAGGTGCCCTCAGGTCTGTTCCCTGACCCGGACAGGGGAAAGCCACCCCTCGTGGGCTACAGAAGGGATGCAGCAACAGGAGGCAGGCCACACAGCGCTGGCCCATCTTAAAGCCAGCAAACGTCACCGCACTGTCACTACTCTTGTCCGCTTACTGCCAGGCAACCCTGCTTTCGTTCTCTGTCAAACCGTCCCTGAATGCCGAGTCCAGGCTCGGGGAGTCCGCCCAGAGCCCATGGGGCAGGGACGGTGAGGCCGGGACCACAGGCAGACGTGAGCCGGGCGGGCTCTGCCAGGGCCTGGTGCAGACTGTGGGGCGGGCAACAAAGCACAGGCCTGCGCAGAGGGCACGGGCGACCGGCGACCAGGAACCCTCCCTGCAGCCCCATCACTGTCCTCTGATCAGTTTTAGACACTTAACATACAGACATCTGTCCTTCATGTTTCGTCTTTGTTCATCTGTCATCCTCAAAATGAAAGTCCAGAACCTTCTGTACTAATTTTAAAGTCCGGCTGAACATTCAGTAATGAACAAAGCTGAAAACACAAAAGAAAAGAGATGGTTTAGGATCTGTGTGCTTCGACTCACAAATCAGAGCCGACTGTCTCTGGCTGAGCTTCTTCGATGTCACTGACCCTCACGAAGTCCCAGGGCCTCTCTCCACCCACCCTCGCCCGCCCGCACTGCCCAAGGAAACACGGACAAACCTGTTTAAACTTTCCTCTGATTCTGTCTAGGTCTTCGTGAAGTGCGGCGTAAGTGGGGTCGTCGTAAGGGAACTTCTGGATCATGCCAATCAACGACTCTAAGACCTTCATCTTCCTGCTGCAAAGCACAGAGATAGACTTTCAGTCCTTTGTACACCACAGGCCAGGATTATGGAACAACTCGGCCGTCACTTACTTCAAAGCAATGGGTGTGCTAATGGGTCGAGTTCAGAAGCTGGATTATTCATTTTCTTATGACATTAAATAATATTTATTTACCTAGCAACGTGCTCTCCCCCACACCACGTGCACACTGAGCGGACCGATGTGCCTCCATCCCAGCCGTGCAGCCGGGTGACGGAGGCCACCCCCAACGAGCACGCCCACCACTGCTTCCCTAGGTCGGCCGTGGGAACAGACAAAACGAGACAGGACACAGCGCCGGGCACGATCGAGCCTGCCCTGGATCTGGGGAGTTTCCAGACCGAGACACTGCACCCAGGGTTCGGCGGCAGGTGAACCAGCAAGCCCTCTCCCTACAAAGGGCAGAAATGGCGTCTGGTGCGTGAGTCCGGCTCCCTTTCCCAGAGACACAGGGAGCTCTGCTGGGCAGCGAGGGGGCTCTGCAGGAAGGGCAGCCTGGGCGTGACTGAGCCTCACTGAGCCTCACCATCCTCATCTGTGAAATGGGGAGGTAACAGTGACCGCACCAGCTTGCAAGACTGTAAGTAATTATGGGAAGTGCAGAACCCGGTACTGAGTAAATGCTCAATACATGCAGTCTCCTCACTCCCGCAGGATCGCGGAAGCCAAGGCACTCACCTGAGGAGGTGTGGATGTCGCATACATGCATCTGGGGAACGTGCCACAAGGGACCCCAACGGGCACCCTCCCCTGGACCACATCTGACCACCTGAGTACCAGGAGTATGCTGGCATTCATTAATGGAAATTTCAAAGGCCTTCTCCTTAAGGTGACTCAACTGCAATTCAAAGCAACCAAGACTTCCTGAGAACCCGCTGTATGTGCTGCGTGAGATACGTGAGTGTGCTGGGGAAAATCGCTGTACCGGGACGGGGATGGCCACCTCTCTGAGAAAGTGCAGAACGGTGAAAGGTCAGAGCCAGTTAATTAAAGCAACAAAGCACTCGGTTTCCAGGGAGATCACAGGCAGAGGCCAACGTGGGAAATGGCTGCATTCTAAGCGAAGAGCACCACCCATTTCCAAATTTGCAAGTAGCGACTTATTCTCCCCTGGTCAGTGAAGCTGCTCCAAACACACCCAGCAAAGTCAGTGCATGTCAGGAGGGTGTGAACTGCTCCCAGCGGCGCAGCAACAATGACGCTGCTGGCCCCGGCTGGTGTGGCTCAGCGGTCACTGCATCAGCTGGCGACTGAAGGGTCATGGGTTCCACTCCTGGTCACAGACACATACCTGGTTACAGGTTTGAGCCCCAGCCCTGGTCCAGGTGTGTGCAGGAGGCAACCAGTAGATGTGTGTGTGTGTGTGTGTGTGTCTCTCCTCCTCCCTTCCATTCTACCTAAAACTCAATGGAAAAATATCCTCGGGTGAGGATTAACAAACTAACAAACAAACAAACAAAATGAGGCTGCCAGAGCCCAGCGCTCAGCCCTGGCCAAGCGTAGGTCTGCGTGAGGCTTCGCTGAGCTGCCTCCAGGGCAAAGCAGCACCTCGGAGTTTATCAGAAAGCTACAGGCAACAGGTGCGAAGCACCATCCCTCGGTCTCAGCTGCTGCTGCCCACGGTTCCTCTGGGGCAAAACCCCGTTCCACTGAGTGACAGTGCGGGTGGCAGGTGTTTCTCTCTTGACATCCTCACTTGTGACATAAAGAACCAGAAGACCCTCTATCAGCTTTCTACCATTTTTTCAAAATTGTACTGACCTATGAGAACCAAAAGCCGCAGGCCCCCCTGCGGGCCCCCCGCTGCCCACCCTGCAGGCCATGGCACGAAGAGGCTGCTAGGCTGTGCAGGCACTGCTGGCAGGGGGGTGGCAGGGGGTGGGCCGCGGGTTCTCCTGCCCATGCCAATGCTGCAGTTCCTGCTCTGACAGACTGGGCGCAGGAAGCCCTGCTCTGGGGCAGGGTGGGGTCCCCTGGGTGTGGGACCCCAGGGCAACATGCCTCCATGAGCTAGCAGACCTGGCACAGAGGAGACTCATGGAGAACTCCAAAAAGCTGCACCGCCCTTCTTCCGTTCACAGACCGGAGTGGAGAGCCAAGCTCAGCTTTGACTGCCACCCAGTGGAGCCACAGGCTGCCAGCCACTATCCAACCAGATCACTGGCTACCCTGCACTCCCGCTAACTCCTCAGAAGAAAAACCCAAGGGTAAAAGAACCTGGTCAGTTTCCAACTCTCCATGTAAATGGAGTGGCCCAGTGACACGAACAAGCCAGAGAGCAGCCAACCTCAGAACCACCCACTCAGGCACAAGCATCCTTGTTCGTACATCTGAATGTGGGGGGTGGCCCAAGCTCCAAAACTCAAACTATTTCAAATGAGACGAGTCACGAGACAGGAATGCCACCTCCCTGCTCTGCCGTCCACTGTCCTTGAACCCTCCCAGATTAGGCCAGGCCACCAGACACAAGGATGCGGAGCATCCTGTTTCGGTTCCGTGAGCAGCGGGACAGCCAGGCCACGAGCACCTTTTACTTAAAGGTCCATGTCCAGCCTCAGAATGAAGACAGATCTGACAGGGTCACAGGGCTCCAGGAGGTGCGTGCAGTGACAACAGTCGGAGAAGCCTACGACGGCCAGCAGGTGCAGGTGCACATCAAGCACATTAAACGTGCTGTCTTATCAGCAGAGCCACTTGTGACAGCGAGGTCCCCACTTCCCAGCCCCAGTCACGCCGAGACCACTGCACTCTACTTATCAGACACTCAGGGCTCAGAAGAAGACAATCCAACATTCCTTTCCTGGCAGGTACGCAGAGGCCACCTACTACTCTAGTGACGCCAGGGAGAGCCAGGGGACGTGAGAACTCTCGAGAAGTGATGACAGCCGGTGTTCATCAAACACTGAGAATGTGCCCAGGACTTCCTATTGTGGTAGCCCCCGTGCCCAGAGGGGCACATGCAAAGACCCTCAGCCGATGCCTGGAGCCGCGAGAGTGCCAATCGCGTAGAGGAAGCACCGTGGCTTCTGTGGCACAGCCACACCGCCAGCATCCCACGCTTGCACTTCGGGGCCATTATTACGGAGAATGAGGATGATTTGAACACGGGCACTGCGATGCCAGGACGTCGATCTGACCACCAAGGCGGCTATAAGGGACCAAGTGGCAGGGAGTGTCCACAGCGTGGATCCGCTGGACACAGGGACAATCCATGGCCCAGGCAGACGGAGCAGGACAGCATGAGATTTTGTCACACTGCTCACAACAGTGCACAATTTCAAACTTATGAACTGTTTATTTCTGGAACTTCCAGTTGACTGAAACGGCAGGTGAAGGGGAACTACGTACTACTTCCCGTCCATCTCTTAACCACATTCAAGTGTGGCCTGATCATCTCCTTCTGCAGATGAGCAGACGGAGACACTAACTGCCCAAGCTCATACTACGGAACCAGAACTCGATCCACACACTGAGAATGGAGCCTCGCACGTTACCTGTCTCTCTCGGCCGCACAACCGTTCAGGAGGTATCTCCAAGCAAACGCGAAACCTTGGTAGCACCCGATCTGTGAATTCACAAAACATATACGAGTCAAATTAATAAGCAAGTGGCTACACTCGATTTTATTGCCAAGCTCTCTGGACAGAGGCGGGCAGAGGGCAGCAGAGCTTCTTGTATGGCTATTCTGGGCGTACATGTCCAGCATCGGGCAAGGAAATTAGGAGGCCAAGTCATCAGTGGGGCAGCCAGCCTCCAGCTGGTCCCACAGACCCCACCCCCGCCGACTCTGAGGCCAGACACACAGTGTCACCTCTGCCTTGCTGTCTTGGACCACTCGCTCAAGTGCCATGCGGACCCTGCAGCAGCCCTACGGACAGGTCCACAGGCAAGAACAGCCATGCGAGCCACCTTATGAGCTACTCTTCCAGCCGCGTCGAGCCCTGGCTGACCTGACCAGGTCATCTGGAGACCCTGAGCCATGACCCCAGCTCAGCTGCTCCTGGACCTGACCCTCAGAATCCAGTGGCAATGGATGTTTGCTGACGTAAGCCCATACGTTTTGTGGCGATTCGTTCTGTAACGGGCACCTAACACCGTCGTGACTGCCCGGACCTTGCATCTAGGGCCAGATGTCCATAAGTGAGGGCCAACGTAGGACACAGGGCACAGAAGGAAAATTATGGAGTTTCAACCTAAATGAAAATGGAGTCTTTCCCCATGACATAGAGCACTGTTCTTTGAGCAAGGACTCAGTTGGCTAAAGACAGGACGCAGCACCATGACCTTCACCCTCTGCTGAACACTGAGGTCATTCCCAAGCCGCACAACAATCACTCCTTCAGCAAATACGTGCTGTCGGTTCAGAGCTAAGTCTGTCCATCACCTTCTGCCTCATCTGCTGCCATTCTAAGAGGCCTGAAGTGCTGGCTCATTCGTACTGATCGTCAGAGTTACAAACTATGTGTGGAAGCGCTCACTTATTGTTTCCTTTATTGATGTAGAGAGGAGGGAGAGGGAGAGATGGAAACATGGATGAGTGAGAACATCGACTGGCGGCCTCCTCCATGTCCCCTGGGGATCAGGCCCACAACATGGGCATGTGCCCCGACTGGGAACTGAACCGGTGACCTCTTGGTGCATGGGCCGACGCTCCCCCACTGTGCCACACCGGCTGGGCCAAAAAGGTTCACTTCTGAGCAGGGCGCCCACTTACCTCAGACCCGATTTTCGCTCCATGTAATGTGCCATGTTGTCTTCCTTCAATGATACCCAAACTACTGCCTTCTTCATAGCCTTCCTGATACCCTTCCCCGTGAAACCTGTGACAGAGAAGAAGAAACCTTGAGCAAATAAACAAGAGGAAGAATATTCTTCCTGGAAAAACCGCTCTCTCCCAGGTTACCCCGACCAACCCAGCAAAACAAGGCCCAGAACCGTATAGAAAGTACAGAATTTAAGTCAGAAAACGTAGGTTCCAATCCCAGCTGCGCAAAGACACAAATTCAAGAGCCTCGCCCCAATATTCCCTAAGTCTGGAGTACGACCTAGGAATCTACCTTTTGAAACCTCCTAGGTAACTCCTCCAGCCAAAGTCCTGAGTCTACACGACACACTACTCAGCCAACTGCTTCGGGAGACCCCGACACACACAGCGCTTTCCATCGCATCCCAGGAGACCAGCAGAGAGAAACGCCATTCGGTCACCACGAAATGCACGTGGCCTGGCGGATAATAACCAGGCTCTGACTTTGAGGGCTGGACAGTACAAATGGCACCATCTTAACCTGCAGTCGCCAAAGAGGAAAGGAGTTTGCTGGAGCCCCTGACAAGGCACAGTGTCCCGCCGATTGGTCGCGTGACCCTGGACAGTGACCCTGCCTCATCTGTAAGATAAGGTGAACAACAGAACCTACTAAAACAAATGAGGGGCGGTTGGGGTGGGGCCGAGGGGTTGCAACCCTCAAGTCCGTGTCGGATTCACAATGAGCTCTGAATAAACGTCAGCGACTGATTGACATCTATTGCTGTCTCAGACACAAAGCCCCTCACAGCCCGCCCCGGTCCCAGCGCCCCCTGGTCCCAGCCCCAGGCCCCCCCAGGGGCTCTGGGGGGCAAGGGGGACGTCGGACACATTTATTAGCATGTCCATGAATGCTGCCGTATGTCCTACCACGTAGGAACAAGAAAAAGGGGCAGTGCCCAGATGGCACAGGGCTGTCCCCGCCGAGGACGGGGCGTTCCTGGAGGAGGGCGGCCAGCGGCCCGAGCAGATGCTGGCGGCGGCCCGGGACCGGGAGGCGGGTCCGGGGAGCAGCTGGGCACGTGGCGCCGCCCCGCCCCGCGGCCGCGGGGTAAAGGACGAACAGTATGTCGGCCCCACACGCGTCCGCTGCCTTCAGAGCCGCAGAGCGCTCCTCCGAGGCCCGCCCACGCCCGCTGCCACCAGGCCCGAGGGCACCGCAGCCCAGCAGGGCGGGGACCCACCTGTCATCCGCCATCACGATGGGGTCGAACAGGTCCTGAGCTCCGGCCATCGCGGCAGCCCGGCCGGTCCCTGCCCACCGGCTGCGTCACGCGGCGCCGGTGCCAGACCCACCACTTGCCGCGGGGCTCCGGCTCAGACGCACGGCTTCCGAGGAAGCGAAGCCTACTTCCGGGGCCGGCTGCGCGGGGCAGGCCGGGTAAGGACGGCACGCGAGAGGGTCCAGTGAGCGCCGGCACGGGGCCGGGACGCGTGCGCGGGGGCGGTGCTGGGCGTTGGCGAAGCCCCGCCCCCGGGCTCTCGCAGCCCCGCCCCCGGTTCCCGCGGCCCCGCCCCCAGACGCTCGCGGCCCCGCCCCCGGTTCCCGCGGCCCCGCCCCCAGGCCCTCGCGGCCCCGCGGCCCCGCGGCCCGCGACCCCGCCTCCCGGCTCCGCTATGTCCCCATCCCCCACCCCCATCCCCCACCACCGCCAAAGGTCCCAGCAGGGAGCACCCACCTAGCCGCGGGGTGGGGGTGTGGCCCGTGTTTTCGGGTTTAGAAAACCGAGCAGATGGGATCGAATTCCCTAAAGAGGCTCAGAAAGAAACGGGGAAAGGGAAGCTCGGGACCAGGAGGCCAGGAGGCTCTGCCGGGGGGCTTTGGGGGTGAAAAGTTCCAGGAAAGGCAATTCCGGGTGGCATCAGGACCTGGACCCACGCATTCCCTGACCCCGACCCACAGCCGGGGGACAGCGCCCAGCACGGCGCTGGACTTCAGACCCCAGCCCCAAACGCCGCGCACCCGGTTAGCGGAGCCCAGGGCCACTCGGCCTTGGCTCCGGAACCGCGAGGCGGGCTGACAGGGCCGCAGCCGGGCCCCAACGCCCTGGGAGGCGGTCAAAACCTTGGCATCCGCTCCTGACATTTCAAGTTGTTTGAAAACTGCAGACACGTTTCTGTGCACGCTTTCTCTTGCTGCCGTTCGTCCTGAAGCCAAAGCAGAGTAATTCAGGATGTGTGCAGAGGCCAGAATCCAGCCGGGCCAGGGGGTTTGTAAGAGCAGCCGGGCCCCACTGCAGCCGGGGCCCCACTGCACACGGGCCCCCACTGCAGCCGGACCCCACTGTAGCCCAAGCCCCCAATGCAGCCGGACCCCCACTGCAGCCGGGACCCCACTGTAGCCCGAGCCCCCACTGCAGCCGGACCCCACTGCAGCCCGAGCCCCCACTGCAGCCGGACCCCACTGCAGCCGGACCACCACTGCAGCCCGAGCCCCCACTGCAGCCGGGCAGCCCGAGCCCCCACTGCAGCCGGACCCCTACTGCACCCAGGCCCCCGCTGCAGCCGGACCCCCACTGCACACGGGCCCCCACTGCAGCCGGACCCCACTGTAGCCCGAGCCCCCACTGCAGCCGGACCCCCACTGCACACGGGCCCCCACTGCAGCCGGACCCCACTGTAGCCCGAGCCCCCACTGCAGCCGGACCCCCACTGCAGCCGGACCACCACTGCAGCCCGAGTCCCCACTGCAGCCGGGCCCCACGGCAGCCGGACCCCTACTGCACCCAGGCCCCCGCTGCACCTGGGCCCCCGCTGCAGCCGGACCCCCACTGCACACAGGCCCCCGCTGCAGCCGGACCCCCACTGCAGCCCGAGCCCCCACTGCACCCGGGCCCCGCTGCACCCGGGCCCCCCGGCAGCTGGACACCCACTGCACCTGGGCCCCCACTGCAGCCCGAGCCATCTCCCCGCTTTTTAAAATTAGTATCTAGTTTTACTTTTCCCATTTGTCCTTTCCGTGAGATATACTTTTTTAAAAAAAAGGGGCTAAAGTCTCAGGGGCAGTGGGCCATAGGCATGAGTTCTAGAAGCATTCTCCAGAAAAAAATAGTAAGTCCAGAACAGGTATGCCTTGGTCAGGTGCCCAGTGAACCCTCTCTGCAAGGCCTTACCAAGGCAGGCACACCGCAACAGAAGCAAGAAGTCTAAGTATCAGAAGGAAGACGCGAAAGTATCGTTATCTGTAGGTGGGCTGGCCCATCTAGAAAGCCCAAAGAAAGCATGTAAGACATTCTCAGAACTGGTAGTAGAGTTCAGAAAAGAGGGGTAAAAAAGGCACTTGCTATTTGTTATTCTAACGATAATCAGTAGTAGCCTGAGCAGAGAGGGTGGAGAAATCCACTTTACAGTAGTCAAATAAGATTTGAGCAGAGTCCATATGAAGAAAACGACAGCTGTACCCTGACCCTGAATAGGAACACAGGTAACCAAAACTCCACGTGATCTGGGGGAAATGCGACAAAGTTCTAAACTTCATCTGGATGAATAAATTGATAAGAATAACTAAGATATTTTTGAAAAGGAATGATATGGCCCAGCCGGGGTGGCTCAGTGGATTGAGCATCGTCCCATGGACTGAGAGTTCCGGGTCCGGGCGCATGCCCAGGTTTCGGGCTCCAACCCCAGTGCGGGGCGTGCAGGAGGCAGCCGATGGATGTTATTCTCTCTTCCTTCCTCTCAAGAAAACATCAATAAAAAGTCAATAAAAACATTTTTTTAAAAGAAAAGGGATGATATGGAGAACTTACCAGGTTAGGCAATATAAAGTTTCAATTACAATATTGTAATATGTTGGTTCAAGAAGAGACAGATGAGTAAAATAACGTAGAATGGCCCAGAAAGGGACTCTAGTAGACATAAAACCTTCTCACGTGATAAAAAGAAGCACCAAGTAATAGGGAAAAGGAATATTAATCAGTCACTGCAATGGAAAAATTGGCTGTTGGGGGAAAGTCAAGTTCTGTTTATGTCTTACAGAGTTCATTAAAATAGTTTCAGGTAAATTAAAGACTTACCTGTTTTACTCAAATGGACATTAATAATCGAGATGGCACACTCAGGTGAGTGTGCAGATGTTTTGTAGTATAGGAAGAGCCGTGGAGAAAATCGCAAAGGGAAAACCTGGATGTTTCCCTCCATGCAGACGGTAACAACCTTGGAAACCACAGAGCAATCTGGGGACATGTTTGTCATAGGTATTATAGCTCAAGGAATACTATTTCTGGTTTACGAAGAACTTGTGCAAATGAAGAAGAAATAAATGCAGCCTCACAGGGAAAAAAGGGGGCCGAGAATTTCACCAAACTCACAGAAAGAACAAGGACTGTTTGGCAGACCACAGTAAAGCAAGGCCACCTTGCCTCACCGTTGACCGAAGGAGAGCTAATCGAAAGAAAAATATGATGCAGTCTTTACCTGTTAAAATAGTTAAAAAGAAATTCTTTGTTAGAATGAAAAGACATTACCGTTGCCCGAAGACGCACAAATGCAAGCCACCGATCACTCTGGTAGGGTGGAAAGATAAGAAGGACATTTCAAATGTTTTCAACTTTTGACCTGGTAATTTCACTTTTAGGACGTCATCTCTAGAAAATAATCAGAACAAACATAGTGACTTTTTTTTAAATCTTCACCTGAGGATATTTTTTCCATTTATCTTCAGATAGAGTGGGAGGGAGGGAGAAAGAGAGAGAGAAAAAAATGTGAAAGAGACACACCGACTGGTTGCCTCCTGCACGACCCGACAAATGCAACCGAGGTACGACGTGCCCTTGGCCGGAATCAAACCTGTGACTCTTCGGTCCACGACCTGGCCGGCACTCTAATCGCTGAGCCAAACTGGCCAGGTCTCACTAACCTTCCTTTTTTTTTTTTTTTAATCTTCAGATGGAGTGGGAGGGAGAGTGGGAGAGAGAGAAAGAAAATATCGATGTGAAAGAGACACATCGACTGGTTGCCTCCCGCGTGACCCCAACCAGGGCTGGGGATCAAACCACAACCAAGGTACCCGCCCTTGACTGGAATCAAACCCGCAACTCTTTGGTCCGCGGGCCGATGCTCTAACCGTTGAGCCAAACCAGCCAAGGCCAATTTTTTTTTTTTTAAATAGTCCAGTATAGTGATGTCCAGTACAGTGTGATCTGTAAAAGCCAGGAGGAAAAAGCACCTTACAGTGACAAAATGATAGGACAATGACACCTATGTCGTGGGATATTCACACAGAAGACTCTTAGGCAACAGCCCCAAATAATATTTGAAACAAAAGTAAATGGAAAATGAAAATGCTCCTAATGTTTAAGGAAAAAGAAAAAAACAACCCTACATAAGCTCCTGCTCCAATGACATGAAACAAGTATGTTTTTACTATTTTTATTATTTTAATCTTCACCCTAGGATATGTTTTTCATTGATTATAGAGAGAGAGAAAGGGAGAGGGAGAGACAGAGGCAGAAATATCGATGTGAGAGAGAAACATCCATTGGTTGCCTCCGTCGTGCCCGAACCAGGGATGGACCCGTAGGTGCGCGGGAGGGCTGCTTGAACCGACTAAACCACACCGGTCGAGGTTTCATCATTATATTTTTTAAGAAAAATAAACGTAAGCCTTGGCAGTGTGGCTTAGTTGGTTGGGCGTCATTCACGCACCAAAGTGTTGGTTCCACAGGGCGCAGACCCGGGTTGCGGGTGACCCCGGACCAAGCACGTGGGGAGCAGCCCTGAGGTGTTTCTCTCTCCCTCTCCCTTCCTCTTTCTCAAAAAATTAATAAAAATAGATTTGTTTCAATAATGAAGGTAAGTACACCAACATGTCAACATTGACTTTCTCTAGATTTTAGAATTACCATAATTTTCAACATTCGTCTTTTATATTTTGAGTAGTCCGTGTTTGTCCAGTGAGCATGAGTTTCTCTTATCAGCATCAAAAAGCCCACTAAAATATATTTTTCAGCCCTGGCCGGTTTGGCTCAGCGGTGGGAGGGAGCATTGGCCTACGGACCAGAGAGTCCCGGGTTCACTTTCCACTGGGGCACGTACAAAAATATATATAATTTTTTTTTCCAGAAGATGAAATTAAAGAGGCTTTGCATTTTTATTTTTCTCTTACAATGTCTTTTCATTTTTAGTTGATTTTTTTCCATAGTCAAACAAAATCACAAAACATTTGCAATGTGGGAAGAAAGTGCATAACAAGCAAGCAGACAGATCTGTTCTCCCACTACGCTGGCCACCAATTAATTTTTGCTAATTTTCATACATGGTTCCCTTTGAGTCTTCACATAAACATCA